TTGTGCGAATGCTATAAGCACTTACCTGAGCCATTTCCCTCATTCTTTTTTTTTTCAAGACAGTGTTTCTCTGTATTGTTTTGGAGGCTGTCCTGAAACTCTGTAGACCAGGCTGGCCTCAGACTCACAGAGATCCACCTGCCTCTGCCTCCCAAGTGCTGGGATTAAAGGCACCACCAATTCCCGGCTATTTCCCTCGTTCTTAATGCTTAATTTTTTTTTTTTTTTTTTTTACGGAAGGCAGTTGTGTCATAAAGATGATGACTAAGCATTCAGTTCTATGTTGGTGTGCTGTTTTGAATAATAAATGTTTCCTATAGGATTAGGGGTTTAAATACTTGGTCCCTAGTCAGTAGCTCTGTTGGAGAAGTTTTTGGGTGTGTGGTGAAGCCTTGTTGGAGGAAATAGGACACTGGAACATAGATAGCTTGAGAGTTTAAGGCCTCATATCTTGTGGTAGTTTGAATGTAATTGGCCCCCATAATCTCATAGGGAGTGGCACTATTAGGAATATGGCTTTGTTGGAATGGTTTGGTCTTGTTGAAGGAAGTATGTCACTGTGAGGGTGCTCTTTGAGGTCTCCTATGCTCAGGATCCTGCCCAGTGCCAGTCGACTTCCTGTTGCCTGGAAGGACTCTCAGCTACTTCTCCAGCATGCTGCCATATTCCCCACCATGATGATAATAGACTAAACCGTGGAAACTGTGAGCGAACCACCCCAATTAAATGTCTTCCTTTATAAGAGTTGCTGTGGTTATGGTGTCTCTTCACAGCAATAGAAACCCTAACAAAGACACAAGTTGGTACCAGGGAATGGGGTATTGCTCTGATAGGCTGGACCATGTGTTTGTTTGAAGGAATTTTGATTATAGTACTTTGGGTTATGAAAGCAATGGATTGCTTTAAGCACAAAGGGCCATACTAGTAGGAACATGGAAGACAGAAGTACTGAGAGTTATTTGAACTATGTAGGGCTCACTCAAGAGGTTTCAGAGGAGAAGAATTTTAGTATATTTGCCTAAAGATTGTTCTTGTAATATTTTGGTGAAAAATGTTGCTGCCTTTTGCCCTTGACTGAAGAGTCTCCCTGAAGCTAAAATGAAGAATTTTGAATTAATTCCATTGGCAGAAGAAATCTCAAAACAGCTTAGTATGGATCTGTTGTGTGGATATTAGTAGTAACTCAAATTAAGATTAATAATAATCAAGCTGAGCAGGGTAAATTACAAAATGTAAAATTTAAGGAGAAAAAGAACACCAAAAGGTGGTATTCAAGGAGATAAATAGATTAAGAAATGAAGTAAAGGGAGTGGTGACCTCCGGGCAAAATCCCACCCAGCTAAATTTCCTATTTGTAAATTAAAGAATAGTTTAGAGCTGGATGTGGTGGTGGTGCACACCTTTAATCCCAGCACTCGGGAGGCAGAGGCAGGTGGCTTTCTGAGTTTGAGGTCAACCTGGTCTACAGAGCGAGTTCCAGGACAGCCAAGCTCATGAAGTGAAAGAAAGCTGGTGAAGATGTAATTGAACAAGGGGGCCACGTTCCTGCCCCAGTAAGCAGCAGAACTTGGCAGCGTCAGCCACATAGTTCTGACTTTAGAGTCAAAGATAGAAGGTAGGGGTTATGGAATTTGCCTCCATACCTGAAGAAAGCCTCTGAGGCCAGGCATGTGTCAGAGGTGTCCTTGAATGGAGACCTAATAGAGAAGCCATTGTGTGAAGCTGTGAAGTTGAAGCCTGGATTGCCTCACAGACCCCAAGATGTTAGAGATGCCAGAGTTGTTGGATACTTGTCAATGAAAAGCTACTGAAAGGGAATGGAACCAGCCCAAGAGAAAGAAGTGTGTTGCATTCAACACAGCTGAAAAGAGTTGGAGATCTGTAGAATTCTTTGACATCAGACATGGAAATGCAGAGTTTAGAGTTTGCCCAGCTGGTTTGCAGTCTTGATTTGGAACAGTATTTCCTTACTATGCTCCCTTCCTTGCATTTTGGAATGGTAATGTATATCTTATACCATTATAGAATGGAAGTATATGATCTTCTATTTTTATAGAGGATTACAGTAAAGGGATTGCATGACTCTGAGAAGAGACTTTGAACTTTGGACTTTTAAACATTGTTGAGACTGTGATAGGCTGTGGGAACTTTTGAAGTTGAACTAAATGCATCTTGCATTATGATATTGTTACAAGCTTACAGGGGCCAAAGAGTGGAATGTGGTAGCTTGAAAGTAATTGCCCCCATAATCTCACAGGGAGTGGTACTATTAGGAGTGTGGCTTTGTTGGAGTGGGTATGGCCTTGGTGGAGGAAGTGTGTCACTGTGGGGGCGGGTTTTGAGGATTCCTATACTCAGAATACCTTCTAGTGTGTCAGTCAACATCCTGTTGCCTGCAAGATGTAGGACTCTCAGTTACTTCTCCAGCATTCTGCCATGTCCCACCATGATAATAATGGGCTGAACCTCCGAATCTGTAAGCGAGTCACCCCTATTAAATGTTTTCCTTATAAGAGTTGCTGTTGTCATGGTGTCTCTTCACAGCAATGGAAACCCTAAGACACACCTCTTCTAGTTTACTCTCTTTGCTTGTATGTGTGGTAAAAAATGTGATCTCTCAGCTTCCTGCTCTTACTGACCCACTTCTCTGCCATGATGAACCAACTCTTATCTCTTGAAACCCTAACCCAAATAAAACTCTATGTTCTATAAGTTGCCTCTGTTGTGACGTTTTTTACACAGCATCAGAAAATTAAAACAGCTAGGAAGAAAGAAACAAAACAGAAGAAATAGAAATGATAGTTTATGAATGAAATTATCCAAGGGTCAGCTGGTATGTTGGGTAGGATGTCTGTGACCAGGTGGTTGTGTGTTTGAGTAGGAGGCCAGAAAGAGAAAAACAGGTAGGAATGAGTCAAACCACCCTAGGTGAAATAGGAACTCACTCAGATGGCATATCTTCTCACTTGGTGCTGTATTTCACATATATTTTAAATTGTCTAACTTTTCATCGTAGAAATCTGTCATTAGAAACAAAACCATTGTATATTATGACTTAGTGTTAACATGTTGGTGCCATTCTTAGGACCACATAACACAGGTATGGTAGCAATATAACTATAATCACAACGTTCTAGAGGTCATCTTCATTCAAGGTCATTTTCTGCTGCGTACAGTGAGTTTTAGGCCAGCCTGGGCTACAGGAGAGTCTATCTAAAACAACAAAAACAAGATGGGCACTGTTTGTATGAATTATCAAAATCTTGAGATATGTGACTAATAAAGATAGCATTCTAATAATGTAACTTTGTGATTCTATAAATAGAATACATGAAGTTTTTTTGTTTGTTTGTTTTGTTTTCTCAACATGGTTTCTCTGTGTAGCCCTAGCTGTCTTGGGACCTGCTCTGTAGACCAGGCTAGCCTCAAATGCAGATGTTATTTTCAGAGGCCATGAGCATATAGCATATGGCAATTGATAATTCAGGTGTTGACTCACCACGCTCTGAAGAAGGTTAATCCTGTCTAGCAAGGCTTACAGAACCACTGACTCTGAAATCCAGTTACCTGTATCTGTAATTTTTTTTCAATTTGTCAACAAATTTTATTTTATGTTTAAAGTTTTCATTATGAAGAAACTTATTGGAAGACTATAAATATCTGATGAAGAGTCCCAAAAGCATATAATAAGCTCAACACAAAAAACTTTCCCTATAGAACTTTAGCCTAGCAAAATCCAAAGATTACAATCTGATAAAAATGTATTTACAAGGGCTGGAGAGATGGCTCAAAAGGTTAAAAGCACTGATTGCCCTTCCAGAGGTCTTAAATTCAATTCCCAGCAATCACATGGTGGCTCACAACCATCTGTAATGAGATTTGGTGCCCTCTTCTGGCATGTAGGAATACATGGAGGCAGAATGTTGTACACATATTAAATAAATGTTTAAAAATGTATTCACAATATCTATTCTAATTTTAAATAGTTGAATTTCTTTTCTTTCTCTTCTCTTTGTTGTAATTTTCTGTAATTTAGATACTTTTTCATTATTGTAGAAAGGCTACAGGTAAAGAGTATCATTGTAAGACAGTGGTAAGGGCTAGAAGTATAATCTAGTGGTAGATTTAAGTGTCTGCTATGCACAAGGCCTTAGGTTCAGTCCCCAGCATCACAAAAGGGAATGAGTGAGTGAATGAATGAATAAAATTTAAGATTGTACTTTGCCTTTAGACATGGATGAGGCTATGCTAAATCAGAAACAACCCTTTGAAGAAAGAGATTCCAAAACTCTTCTTCATGGTTCTTTACCATGTCTGTATATTCATATACTTAGATTATTTCACAGTGAATTTATATAGAATGATGTCGTTGACTAAACAGTGTATTTGAAAGTGTATTTACCCTGACAATTCTGAGTCTCAGATATCTTAAAAGTAAGTATATATTTAGAAATGAGAGATAGCTAATGAAAACCAGTTATGTTTTTCTGTGGGGCTATAATTTATAAGAAACTTTAGCTTTGTTAATGTCAACCTGACATATGCGAAAGTCTTTTGAAAGGAGGGAACCGCAATTAAGAAAATGTCTCCATAAGATGGGGCTGCAAGTAAGCCTGTAGGGCATTTTCTTAATTAGTGATTGATGGGGGAGGGTCCAGGTCATTGTGGTACCATTCCTGGTGGTTCTGGGCTCTATAAGAAAACAGACTGAGCAAGCCATAGAGAGCAAGCCAGTAAGCAGCACCCCTCCATGGCTTCTACATCAGCTCCTGCCTCCAGATTCCTCCTCTGTTTGAGTTCCTATCCTAACTCCTTTCGATGATGAACAGTGATGTGGCAGCATAAGCCAGATAAACCCTTTCCTCCCCAAGTTGCTTTTTGGTTATGATGTTTCATTGCAGTAATAGAAACCCTAAATAAGACTGTATAGCAGTTCACTCATCTTTTTGTGTAATGGGAACCTACATTAATATTGCTTGTTAAACTTTCTTTTTTTAAAGAGTTTGGATTCTGACAAGCCCAAAGAACCAGTGAAAAGATCACCTCTTCGCCAGGAAATAAATATGGCCAACTTTTCTTACCGTTTCTCCATATACAACTTGAATGGTAAGGTTTGATTAAGTGAAGTCTAGAATGATATACTGAGTTCTGTAATACAGGACTAATAGAAATGCAATTCTAAATGTAAAACAATATAAAATTATATATGTAACTTGACTGAGTTGACTAAGTTTTGTTTCTCTTTTTTAAAATTAGTGTGTGTGGGGCCATACACATGAGTGCAGATCCCTTCAGACCCTCTTAGAGTGGAGTTGCAGGTAGTTGTGAGTCATCTAACATGGGTGCTAGGAATCAAATCTGGGCCATCTAGAAGAAGAGTACATGTTCTTAGCCACTGAGCCATCTCTTTGTCCTAAGTTCTGTTTTTGATTTGTCATATTAATTGAAATTAATCAGAAGAGTTCTAGAAGAAAACAGCAGCTAGAATATAACAAATTTCCTCATCATGTATTTAATACTTGATACTGTGTATGCTAGTGAGAAAACCCACAATAATCTGATTGCATTGTTTTCTGACTGGATTATTAAAGTCCAAAGAAAATTATTCTTAGTAATTTTAAATCAACCCATATGACCTTTATTTAATGTACCTAGCCACTTCTTAGTGTTTGGAATAAACGTTTTAAGGTGTTTAGACTTTTTTCTTTATGCGCTTTTCTTTTTTGGTAATATTATATCTACCTAGATATTGACCATATTAATAGTTATTTTAGTTAGGGTTTGCATTACTGCAATGAAATACCATGACCAAAACCAAGTTGGGAGCATAGGCTTTATTTGGCTTACACTTCCACTTTGTAGTTCATTATTGAAGAAAGTCAGGACAGAAACTCAAACAGGGCAGGAACCTGGAGTCAGGAGCTGATGCAGATATCATGGAGGCTGATTTGTTCTCCATGGCTTGCTCAGCCTGCTCTCTTATAGAACCCAGGACCATCAGCCCAAGGATGGCATCAGCCACAAAAATACCCTAAAGCCAGCTCTTATGAAAGCATTTTCTCAGTTGAGGTTCTCTCCTTTCAGATGGCTCACTCATGTAAAGTTGACATAAAACTACCCAACATAACAGTGCAAAGTTACATGGGAGATTTGGTTAAAACCATGGAATAGTACAATTATTTTGTCTTTGGTCTTAGAACCTTATTTTCCTTACCAGAGATCTTAAAAAATGGACTATTTGCTTCAAAAATTCTTAGAATTTAAAACAAAACGTACTAGATACTTTATTTGCTTGTTTTTAGAACCAATGAATTCCTTTGCTTTATTCCTACTGCCTGTGGCTAATTTATAGTAGAATGTATAGATTTTGATTGTGCTCTGGAAACTTATGTCTTCTTTGTAGAAGCCCTGAATCAGGGAGAGACTGTGGATCTGGATGCCCTGATGGCCGATCTTTGCTCCATAGAACAGGAGCTCAGCAGTATTGGCTCAGGAAATAGTAAGCATCAAGTTACAGAACCAAAAGTCACTCAGAAGCTACCTGTTAGCCGGCAGACATCAAAACATGGCACCCTAAGAGGATTATCATCTTCCTCTAATAGAATAACTAAACCTTCCCCTGCTAACTACTCCCTGGATGACATCACTGCACAATTAGAACAGGCTTCCTTGAGCATGGATGAGGCTGCTCAGCAATCTGTAGTAGAAGATTCTAAGCCTCTAGTGACGAATCAGCACAGAAGGACTGCGTCAGCTGGCACTGTGAGTGATGCTGAAGTTCGCTCTGTTAGTAACTCCTCCCGATCGAGCATCGCTTCTGCAGCTTCCAGCATGGACTCTTTGGATGTTGACAAAGTGATGCGCCCTCAAGAACTCGATTTGACAACACATCCGGGACAGCCAGTTACTGAGGTAAATAGATGGAAATTTTTCCTCTGTTATTTTGGCCTCAAAATACAGAGAAATGCGTGGGTTTTTTAGTCTTCTTTTAAAAATTGACTTTCTTCTTTTAACATTTAAAATTTATCAAAAGTACTTCTCAGCTCAATAAGATCACAGAAGAAGTATATCACCAGTCAGGGTAGTGTCACAGAGATGAGTTAGAAGAGGGTTAGAGCCTTCTTTCTGCTTTTGACTTGTTAGAACCCTTCAATTAATGCCAGTTATGTCACGTGATTAAAAAATTGAAGAATGATTTGCAAAGCCATGAATGCTTAATAAGCCGATAATTGTTTTTTACATGATTAAAGTGAGACCATAAGGCCATATAAAACATCATTGTAGTCTTTGAAGATTCTACTATTTGGAGTTTGCTCCATTCTATTATCAAAGGGTTAGTTAGTGTGGTGTAGTGAGTAGGAAGAGAGCTGGACTCCAAGAACTTGCTTCTTTGCATTTGGTACCCATGGGACTCAGGTGAGTTATTCAGTTTCTCCAGACATCAGTTTTTCATAAGAAAACTTTTAATTCCTGGTACCTGTTTGCCTTCCTCTCTTCCTCAGCGGGTGATTCAGAGACTTAGAAGTGATGTAGGGGATGTAAAATTATGTTTTCCTGAGTGTTTTGGGGTGAGATAGATTTGTGATAATAAAGTTAACAAAAGAAAGAGATTTCTCTCTTGATTTCTTGGCATCTAGAAGGTAGCAATTTTGTTGTATGCTAGCAACAAAAAAGAAAATTAATGGATCAGAGCAAAGTCAGCCTTCCCAATAAGCTTGTGTTTATATATTATGAAGCAAAAGAATATATGCATTCTTGGCACTAATGTGGACTATTGCCAAGCATCATAGAATTACAGAGAAACTTGAAATTTGCTATCTGGCATTGTTAGACTCTCCCTTGCCCAACTGATTCAGTTCTTCAGATTAATCAGTAACTCTTGGTATCTACCCAGAAGCTTAGTGTTGTTTTAAGTACTGTGGGGCACACAATAAGCATTAATCATGGTTTAGAGACAAATGAATTACTGCAAAGGAAGTAAGCATAGGAATCTAAAGAATAAATCCTCACTAAAATGGATCTTGTCTACAGTCTGTATTGTATAAAGAATTTGAAAGCTAGTTTCTACATTATGAAGAAACCTAATGTCTACTTTATGACCTAAGAATTCTATTTAACACCAATTTCTCAGCATTTCATTTCATGCCTGTCAGATTTACCAGCTGAGATTTGAGTAAGCAGTTTTATTAGAGATGTGTTTCTGTCTTCTTTGTCTTATATGCTATTACTTCCTTTCTGTCGTATTAGTTTGAGTTAGACCAAAATTTGTGAAAACAGATATGAACTAATTACTAATGATATTCTGTATAGCTGTGGTTGTAAACTGCCTGTCCTGTCCATATCTGTCTGTCTGTGTAAAATACCACTCACTAAAGTTCAAACAATGTAAAAGGATATAAGGTGAAAAAAACCATCTCTCAGGAAACACATCAGTGGTATCTGGTGACACGCATGGGCAAAGATAACAATATTTGGTGGTATAGTATTTAATATAATATTTTGTTTGTTTGTTTTTATGAGACAGGGTTTCTCTGTATTGTTTTGGAGGCTATCAGTTCAGCCCGGCCTCGAACTCACAGAGATCCGCCTGCCTCTGCCTCCCGAGTGCTGGGATTAAAGGCATGCGCCACCACTGCCCGGCTCAGTATTTAATATAATATTTTTAACATGAGGTTTAGTACATAAATCAGGGAGTGGTTTAAAGTTTTATCGGGCCTCCTCTTTTACCTGTCCAACGTGATTTTAAAACTGGTTTAATAGCTTGCTTCAATGTCCTTTGTATTCTGATTCAAATTGAACAAACAGAGTTGAGCTCATTAGATCCAAAACCCATGTATCAAATAGTCTTAATATCAAATATAATTTTAAAAATTACAATTAGTTTTTCATACATGGAACTAAATAGTTCTGTCAGACTTATGAAGTATTTTCTGCCACACACATGTCATATTCTGCTCCCAGAAATAAACACTTTCTAACCTTTGAGTTTGTCCTTACAACATGTATCTCCATGTCATTAAATCCATACTTAGATCACTGTATATCCCTCCCCCCCACCGTCTATTATGTACTGACTTTGTAAAGTGAGACTATGGCTTGTCTTTGGACAATACCTTTCACTTCTCTGCTCCTGCTCCATCCTTTCTAGTTCTCCCTTCTTCTTCTCTGTCTCACATTTAGTTATTGTTGTTTATTTCCTTTCTTTTTTATGGTCTTATAGATAAACCCAGGACCTTACATATGCTAGGCAAGGCAAGCACTTACACACTCTTACCACTGAGCTAAACCCCCAGCCCTCCGTGCTTTTACGGTAATGGCTGTACACCTGAGTTTGCTGCAAAACTGTATATACTTTACTTTGCTTTAGGGAATAGTAATTTGCTTTTAAAAAACAAACAAAACACTTCATTCTCTCTGTGTTTAAAACCATTATTCCAGCTTTAATTTACCACAGTTGATTCCGTCTTGGCTAGCCTGAACAGAGTTAATGTTCTATTCATTTCTTCCCTCTTAAAATTCTTTTTCCTCCTAGTCTTTTTTTTTTTTTTAAGATTTATTTATTTATTATGTACACAGTGTTCTGCCTACATGTATCCCTGCAGGCCAGAAGAGGGCACCAGACTACATTACAGATGGTTGTGAACCACCATGTGGTTGCTGGGAATTGAACTCAGGACCTCTGGAAGAACAGGCAGTACTCTTAACTCCTGAGCCATCTCCCCAACCCTCCTCCTAGTCTCTTATTTGGGATTATTTATGTCTTTCCCCTCAGACCACTAACCTTCTGCAGAGAAGATTCTACCAGTCTCTGGCATGAAGTGCATATGCCTAGCAGCCTCTTAGCAGCCATTAGGGACAAGAAAAGCTTTGGATGTGGGCTTGTTTCTCAGTGTGAACTTCATCTGATCCTTTAGATTTCTCAACGCAAATATAACTGACACTTTGGGCTATATTGATTTTGGTTGTGAGAGGCTACCCTGGACATTGTAAGATATTTAGAAGCACTCATAACCTCTACTCAGTAGATGCCATTACCTCCCTTCCAATTGTAGACATGTTTACATATCCATGAAAGAAAATCATTCCCATTTGAGAATTTTATCTCTAGGTAAAAAATTAATAGCAAGTCAGAACCCTCTTTTCAGGAAAAATGACCTTGGGTTTTCCTTTTCCTGACATCTTTTTTCTTGGAAACACACTGAATTAAGGTTAGTTATAGATGGCTAGTGTAGAAGGATAACTGAGTTCTTCAGCCTGGCTGTAGAGTGAGATGCTGTTCCAAACAAAACAGACTGAAAGATTGGTTATAGAATATCTCTAGGTAGGGTCAGAGTGTAGCCCAGTGCTGCATTGCTTAGTTAGCACATGCAAGGCTCTGCATCCTGCAGCACTAGAAAGAAAATGGTTGTTCAGAAAAGTCGCCAGGTATTATTGTTTACTTTAAAACTGCCCCAGAGTAGTAACAAGTAGTATACAGAACAAGAATACTTTGAAAAACATGCTAAGACCTAGACCCCGACTTTCTCATGTGGTATGCCTTCTGTAAGGAAGAACATATCTCTGAAGGGCCTTAGTACTTACATTCATTCCTAAGAGACAGGATGTTCCTGTGGTCTCTTTCCCGAGCAACCAGCTATCACTTAATAGGCCCCAGAAAGGTCTCTTGTGAAAAGCATGCACTGCCTCTGCAGATGACATGCCAGAGGCTGCAGAACTGAGTGACCTTCATCTCAAGCAGTAGCCTCGTCTGTTTGGTCCTGAGAGTGCATGTTAATCTGAGCAGGAGCCCATTACTGCAGGAACTCTAGGAGTGAACTGCTTTCTCTAATCCAGTTTCTATCTGTAGCCCACTGTCGCTACTACTGCTTCTGTGAACGAGGGCTTCTGGTCTGTTCTGCTTTTCTCTGGTGTTGGCTCTACATTCAACTTTTATTGGGTGTTTCAAGTAGGTTACTACTCAGCCATATACTTTGTACCTTCCAGAAATTGTCCTTATCTGCTTGTAAGTTTGTCATTTTTTTAAAGCTCTTTATTTAGTGGGATTTGCAAAGAGTAGAAATCCCTTATTAGCCCTTTTTCTCATTGCAGCCTCTTGACTTTTGGAGTGTCTCACAGTGGAATCTTCAGACTAACTGTTTCGATCACATCCTCCCACACTGACAACTTTTTTAAACTTCTTAAAAATATTTCCATACAATACATTTTGATCATATTTTCCCCCTCTCCAGTTCCTCCCAGATCCTCCTTACCCACCCAACTTTGTTCTTTCTCTCTTAAAAATGAAATAATAAAACCAAGAAATGACCACACACCAGAAAAACTCACAAAAATAAACATCAAAATAGGCAAAAGACTAATAAAGCAAAAATGCCTAAACAAAGCAAAGTGAGTTAGAAAGTCTATAGAAATACCATTGAGTTCATTTTATGTTGACTCCTGGACATGGTGCCTGCCCTGAAGTGTGATTAATATACCCTGTGAGACTCTAATGGAGAAAACTATGTTTTCCTTTGCCAAAGGGTATTAATTGCAGACAGTTTCTTTAGGGATGGATCCCCATGTCCACTTCCCCCTCAGTGCTGGGACCCCATTTGGCTTGAACCTGTGCACACATTGTTCATGCTGCCACAGTTTCTATGAGTTCGCATGTGCACCTGTCCTGTTGTGTCTGGAATGTTCACCTTATTACTCATTTTATTTGTATTTTTTCCCTAAATTACTTGAGAGTTGGCTGCATTTGTCTTGACCCTTTTCTGTTTGTCATGGCTACTACTGTTTCTATTTCCTGAGAACTGTATTAACCATATAGAATTGATTGACCTTATTGATTTGGTAACTGAAATAGTGCTAAGAACATGTTTAATGGATATTACATAGAAAAGTGAAAAGTCTTTATCTGACAAAGCATATGACATGAAGGCAAAGCAGAATTAGTTATCCATTCCATAAATAGTTACTTAAATATTCTATAGATTCTCAGTGTCTAGGCACTGCACTGGAATGTAGAGGATAATTGTCATTATCAGGAACTGGAGAGAGAGCTCAGTGAGTTTAGTGCTTGCTGGACAAGCATGAGAACCTGTATTCAGATCCCTAGCATCATCTAAAAACTGGACATGATGATGCAGGTCTGTAACCCCAGGACTGAGGGCAGTGATTAAGTGGGACCCTAGGGGCTTGGGAGCCAGCTAGTCTTGCCAAATCAGTGAGCTCCAAGTTTGACAATGTCCCTGCAAGTGAAGTGAAACATTATTGAGGAAGACATCAGACATCAACCTGTGACCTACATAGGCACACACAAACACAGCATCACATATGCAAGGTTATCAATAACTTTGAAGATTAATTACAGAATGCTTTACAACTCACAGGCTTAACTCTTTGAGGGGAAAGATTGTAGAAAATTAAGGAATTAATGAGTGACTAGGAAGTTGCAGAACTATCAAGTACAGAGTCAGGAAATTTGGCAGTATAGAGAAACAAGAGGCAAGAGGAAGGTTAGCCAAGAGAGTTAAACATTTTGCTGTCCCTTCCTTACCTCAGTGGGTTGATGTGGCTGAATTTTGAAGGAGGAATGAGTCAGATTGAAAGACGCTTAGCTTGAGGGGAAGGCTATTTATTCATGTAAAATTTGAAAGGATTGGGGGAAATGTGAATTTAGTACAGAATACACTTTGCTGACTGAGATGTGACATTCTTTGTAAGGGAAGAGGTAAAGGGGAAAGCCGAAGCTTGAGGAACAAGGAGACAGCACAGGCTTTGCAGGAGATTTAGAGTACTGCCAGTGGTCCAGGGCAAGTAAAGGTTCATTAGTATAAATTGCTTCTGGACACAACATTGCTGCTTAGTGTTTCTGACGGATCTGTATTGTCTAGAAGTAAAGGAATGCTATTCTTGAATTGTTAAGGATTAGGATCATCTAGTTCTTGGTTTTTAATTTTTGTGTAAAAGAATGAACAGTAAAATAATTGCCTACAGTTTTATTACTATTTAGTTTCATTACTATTTATTTCATTTCAGTGATCCATTTCTCTTCCTGCATGATGAAGAGCTACTCTTTTCACCTCCATTACCTGTCATTTTTTTCCTTCCTCCATTTCCACAGCATGCTATTTCTCTGAGATGTCCCAGTAAGCAGGCCAAGCACCACTCTGATGTCACAGAAGAGCAGGCTGAGGCGACACCTGTAAGTTCTGTAAGCATGGCGTGGGGCTATTTAAATATCAAAGAAGAAAATAGATTCATTAGAATTCCAAATGATGATGTCTGATCATTTACTAATTTCAGTTTTTCTTTTTTATTTAATAAACGTATTTTAAAAGACTTATAAACTTAAAACAAATTGCACACCAAAATTTATCAGACCCAAAGTCAGTGACCTTCCATATAGTAAGGGTAGGCATTTGAAATGGAGAAGCTGTGAAACTTCACATTAAATTTTAAAACTTCATTACTGAGTATATTTTATGCACTTACCACCAAAAATTAAAATAAAATCCACAGCAGGCAAAATAGAAAAGCAATTAGCTTTATATCCTTTTCAATAATTGATGTCTGTTTCCTGCATTCAGCCTTCCTTATCTCCTAAACTTTAGTTTTTTGTGTTCTTTCTTCATGTTACACTGTACCCATATGTGTATTTATTTATCTATATACATGTTATTGGCTGGATTCTGCATATGAGAGTGAATATGCAATTTTTTTCTTTCCGAGACATATGATTTTGATATATATACATTCTAAGACCATCCATTTTCCTGAAAAATTTTTTGTGATAGCAGTTATATGTGTCACTACCCTCTAGTAGGAATTTCACATATTAAAACAGTCTGATACAGTGCTATTGAATATTAACACTCAAGATAGGATACCTGATACAATGGGTTTTTATTGGAACCATTTCTAAAAATTCTGACTCTGGGGGCTTTCGTCAGCTTCTTTAGGCCCTGATGGATTTAGCCGTTCTTCAGGGTGGGTTCATAAAGTACAGTGTCTCTTCTACACCGGTGCCTAACTGAATATCTGGTCTCTGGCTGCAGCAGTAGCTCCCAATCCTTTTAATCCTAGCACCCCTTTTTAAGAAGGAAATAATTTGTAACACTACCTTTACTACCCCCAACAAAATTCACAGTTAACATAATCTACCTACATCCCTATGATGTAATGCCTACAATGAAAAAAAATGAACCCAAATAATGTATAATAAAATATTTAATACATAAATATTTGACTGCCACTATTGAAAAATGTAAGCCAGTAGGGGAAAATCCACCTCCTCTTAATCTAGAATTCTCACTGAAGTGATCAGTAGTGTGTTTGCTAACGAATACCAAAAGAAGAAAGAGTAGAATATGAGCAGCTCCCAGAACTGAAATGTGCATGAAAGAAACATATATAACATATTGGTGTACCATGAGAGGAGTAACCTTAACTGAGTGATCTTGTGTGCTCTTACAGTCTTAGGGACAATGGAAAGCACAAAATTCTTTGAGTTCTTCCTCCCTTAGCAATACTAAGTGCTTGGATTATAGGCCTTGTCTGGCTCTTGAGATAAGTCTCTTGCGGTTGTTATACTGATTAAATGAGATGGGTTAGTAAGAAATGATTTTTGGTGTTTGATTTTGTAAAACATATATTTCTCATTGTGGTATACTTAAAACAAATATGAAATAATTTTTAAAGTCTATACTATGAAACTCGATGAAATTCCTGCATTTCATGTTTTTACTAATATAGCATTTGTCCTTAATTTTGTTCAGAGGAATTTCAGATCTTGGTATATCTGATGCTGACATTGCCAGTTGTGATAGTGGCGACTCTTACTTTAGGGTTCCATTAGTCATGGTTTCACATCATTATAAACGGTTTTACAACAATAAGTTTTAAAGGACTCCATGGAGGGTTTGGTAAGGCAACACAGCTAAGTGAGTGTAAGCAAAGTACCATGTTTATATGCATGAAATCAAACCCATTATATGTGACATATTAAACATAATAAAATAAAAAGTATACAATTTCTTAAACCTATTTCATAAGACAAATGTTCCAAAATTCTTTGTAAGTTAATATTATATAAAATTACTTTGGGATATACAAGGATTTTCATTTATATGATTTTCCATGGAAGGACATAAATGTCTTGTTGGATGGGTTGGTACTTTTATGTGATGTTGTGCCATGCTTTAGGACATCTGGCACTTTCAACTTTGTTCTCAGTAAATACTATTAACCCTTCCTCTTGTCTTTATTTGTGAATGTCCAAAACACCTTCATCATTTTCTGAGATGCCAAGTTAAAGACGGTACTGAGAAACATTGATTTCAAGTATTTGGTTGGTTTTTTTTTTCATTTCCTCTATTCATCCCACCCTTTCCAGCCTCCACTTTATCCTCTAAGGCTGTACACATTTTCCTGAATACCTTCCTAAGTCCCTAATTTTGGCATAAGTACTCCCCTCCTCCTCCTTCCCATGCCACCTAACACACTTCATTGTGGCTGTCAATGGGCAGTGTAGAACTATTAGGGAGATGCAAACCAGGTATCCGTGAAGAGAGCAAGTACTAAGTGACTGCCTTTAACTCCAGGCTTGAAGTTAGAATCTAAAAGCTAGCTCAGAGAGAGGGAGAGCATAAATGGAAGAGAAAAGGAAAACATACAGGCCTTGGCTATTTGTTTTATTTGTTTGTTGTTTGTTTGGTTGGTTGGTTGGTTTTGGATTTTCAGGACAGGATTTCTCTGAAACAGCATCATTCACTTTGTACACCAGACTGACCTGGAACTCACAGAGATCTGCCTGCCTCTGCCTCCTGAGTGCTGGGATTAAAGGTGTGTGCTGCTGTCACCCGGCCTTTTTTTTGTTGTTGTTGTTGTTTTAATGTGTTGGGGTGGGCATGGGTGTCACAATGTGTATATGCAGTTTAAAGGACAATTTTGTGAAGTTGTTTCTTCCCTTCCACCTTTACATGGGTTCTGGGGATCAAATTCATGTTGTCAAGCTTTCACAGCAAGTGCTGAGCCATCTCACTGGCTAGTTGTTAACCAGCAACATGTGCCAGGATACCCTGGCTGTTAACTGCACACACCTCTCTTATCTCACTCCCTTTCATTTTTCTCCAATGAGAAAGCTCATTCCTCCTTCCTTCTGAGAGCAAGGGGTTAGGAGCAATGCATGACTGGCTCATGCTAAAGGGAGAGAGACAAGTAACATAAGCATTTATTTAAAGGAGATTTTATTTCAACTTCTGGTTTCTAGACATCATTCCTGCTGTCATACCTGTAGTTTAAATAAAAGGAACCTGAATCTGCCCTCCCTTAAAAGGCCCTGGCATTCTGCTTTTGTAGTAAACCATGTCCTGCTCTTCAGTAAAAATTCCAACCCAAATAATTATTTTACTTTTTCAGAGTATTGCCCTCATCTATAGAATCACTAAAAAGCATTATGATCATGTATTTCTGGATCTCTTTCTTTTTGTTTCTCCCTGAGATCCAAACTATGTCTTTTTTTAAAAATTATGCTATATGTACAGATGTTTTATCTGCATGCATATCTGCAGTATGCATGCCTACTGCCTGTGGAGGTTGAAGGAAGGCATCGATTCCCCTAGGACTAGAGTTCAGACAGTTGTGAGCTACCACATGGGTCCTGGAAATCAAACCTGGGTCCTTTGGAAGAACAGCCAGTGCTCTTAACCATCGATTTATCTCTCATACCCATGTCTTAAATGTGTTAAGTGGGGAGAGGAGAACATGTACATGCCACCACACTTGTGGAAGTTGTCGAAGGACAACTACTTTGCAGAATTGATTATCTTCTTCCAGGGTGTTTTAGGGTTAGATCTCTCTTACTGTCTTTGCCATATTGTGCATTCCAGGCAATTGGCCATGGAAACCTTTCCGTAGGAATGCTGGGATCACAAATGGCCATCTAGCCTTTTACATGGATTCCAGGAATTGAATTTATGTCGTTGTGTGTGTGCAGCAAGCACTTTCACCTGCCGAGCCACCTGGATCTGTTTCTTAAGCAACAACCAAAGTATTTTCTGAAAACTTTATTAGAATTCATGTCTGTAATTAATATCTTGCCAAGCCATAGGTTTTGTGGATGGCATGAGGCAAATTTTATTTTTTAAAACTTGAAATGCAAGACTAGCAAGATGGCCTAGTGGCTAAAGACACTTGTCACCAAGCTCTGTGGCCTGGGTGTGACACCCGGGAGTTACATGTTAGAGGAAGAGAACTCTATTCTTCCGAGTTATCTTCTGATCTCTACTGTGTAGAATGTATACACCAACACACACAAGAGGCACCAAGATATATATACATACGTGGGCACAAAAATAAATAAAATTGTAAATACACTAAACTTGAAGTATGGTTTCATGAATATTGGTATTCCACTATTTGGGGCTCTTTCTGGAAAAGCTACCTTTGTAATATAAACTGAGATAAGTTTTCAAGAAATTACTTTCTTAGGCTGGAAAGATGGCTAAGGGGGTAAAAGCACTTCTTGTGTATATATGAGGACTAGAGTTTGGATCCCTAGAACCCACATAAATGCCAAGTGGGCATGGTAGCCTGCCTGCAATCCCAGCCACTGGAGACAAAGATAGGATTTCAAGAAAAATCTAGCTATCTAGACTAGTGAAATCAGTGAAAGACCCTGCCTCCTTACACAAGATGGAAACCAACCGAGGAAGACACCCAACATCAACTTGGCTTCCACAGGTACACATACATAACCACAATATGCACGTATACCTACACATGGAGACACAGGCACACAACACACACAGATTCATGCTGTGTTTTATGCATTCGTGTAAAAATATTTTTTTCTCATGTGTAGATAACAAAATAATTAATGAATGAGAGCAGTGGAAGTTATAGCTGATATTTTTAAATTTTGCTTTTTAGTCTTTATACCTTCGTTTTCTCTCTGGTTTGGACTGAGCAATAACTTTAAACTAAATTTGAGTTTTCAGAAATTTTTGCCTACCTGCTGTTTTTTGGATGAGATAACTAGTCTTTATCTTTGGAAGAACTGTAGCATATAGATAATGAGGGCCTAGGAATAATTTTCTCAGTTCTTAATGTTTGACCTTTTTAATGACAATCATGGGGAATCCCCTTCAGCACACACTATTAGGTTTCTTTTTTGTTTTGGGGAAATGGATGAGAGGGGCCAGTTTTATAGGTTCATCTTGAACTAATGC